TTGCTAAAACACAATCCTGACAAGAGAATGCAATTCAAAAAAATTAAACGACATAAATGGTTTTCAAAAGGTAAGCCAACAGTTAGCTCTTAGGTGAGCATTCAGAAGTGATACACACGCACAAGGTGTACATAGATACAGGAACATATGCACAGCTTGTGCACAGATACAAGTACATTCGCACATATTCGCATAAATAGATCGCCATGTGCACAGGCATACGCGCATGGAAAGATAGGCATATGCATGGGCCCCCCCCTACTTATGCACACAGGCGGCCATAAAAACGGTGAAGCGCACATACATATACATGCATGTATACATGCATACATACCTATATACACACGTTGGTATAATAAATACACGGACCCAACCGCACATCGACACATGCGTGCAATAAGCAGCATATTAGAAATCGCCATTTTGCGCTATAATACATGACCAAACAAAATTCTTATCTCATCTCCTTTTAAGTCAAACTCACAGTATGATGAAAAATACATAGCATGGGTAGGCTGATATACATACACATGGCTGGTTAAATGTTGTAATTTACAGCTGTGTGTGCATCGTGGAAGTGACTTATAAAAATGCTTAATTTTGTATCCAAGGAAAAAATCATCATTTCTTTGATTTCTTCCTTAAGAATTCGTCCGTGCTGCTTTTGTACTTTTTTAATTCTTCCTTGTCGATGTTCTGGAAAAAAAAAAAAAAAAAAAAAAAAAAATTGGATGAAGGGAAAAGGGAAAAAATTCAAACCAGTATGTTAAACTTTTAAAAATGCCACCTTGCGCTGTGGTACACTTTTCCGAAAAACCTTCATGTAAAACCATACCTGCTGGTACTTCTGGGCTATCTGATTTACACAGGAAATAAAAAAAAATATAATTACTACAAAAAAAAATATGTTAAATAAAAACATAAAATCCATTTTGGATTTTGTCTTCTGCCCATATTTCAAAATCGAAATTTTCTCATCTATATAATTCTCGAGAGAAGACGGGTCCATGTTTTTAAAAATGCGATGTAAGGGGAAAATGGATAACGCCTTCTGGCTCATTTTTAACTGCATTCCTTTGTAATTATTTGAAAACACAAAAATTAGGAAGATGCTCTGAAGTATGGTTTTAACAACCGCCTTTCCTAGAAACAGAGGAATGAAGAAGTTCCCGAAAGGCATCAAAAAGTGGCCACAGCAAATTCCGCACAGATCGAACATCACTGCAGGGGAATGGAGGCAATTGGAGAAAGGGGGGTCAAAATGTGTACACATGTTTCTAGCATAATCATACTGATCATTTCGCTACACACGATGCAACAATGCAGAGCGTGATTCGAATGTGGATGCGAACAATGTGCCATCACTGACAAGCAAAAGAGGACCAACTAGTAGAACACAAATAACGGCATCTGTCACGCCCTCACACGCATGAATAGTATACCATTTGGCCAGCATGACAAAACGAAAACAGATATAGATCCGTGCTTTTTAATAAAATCTATCATCCATATTTTCATGGCGATTATTATGTTTCGTTTTCCTTCTTTTATGTCCTTTTCGAATTCTTCATAATCGTCATCGTCAAGTTTGGACTATTAAATGGGCAGCACATGGGGAAAAGAAAGGGCATATAAATATTTTTTACAATGTGTATATAAAAAGGAGGCACTCCCTCTGTTCGTTCTTTAGCTTCTTCTGTATCATACGAAATGCACATTTCAGCGCACTTTTTTTTTTTTTGCCACTCTATTTTTTCTCTTCTACCTTGGAGGCGTAGTATGACGTGAGGTACGGTGGCAGTTCTCCCAGCACGGTTCCTATACCCCATACTAGACAATAGGGATAAACTTTGATGAATAATCTTGACAATATTATATTCCCGTCGTTCTTAGTTATACACTGATTGAGGGGGGAAAGATACAAAAGGGAGAATTAATCGTTTTGTTCACATAACAGTTTTGGGATGCTTGTGCATTGTGACAAGAAACTTGCGGGGCCAACTTAGAAGTGGCAGAAGTAGGTGCATATTTCAGCACCATTCAGGAAGTTTCATCGACACCCTTTGTTACTTTCCATTAAAAGTGTCACTTGGCTTTCTCTACCAAGATCTACTTTGCCCGCTCGCTCACTCACTCGCTCCTGCTTCTCCTTACCTCAAAGTAGTTCCCGGACGTCAGCAAGGACCCCCACATATTCACCCTGGAGTCAAAGTTCAACGAATTGCAATACTCCGAAGTTGAGCAAATGAAATAAATGTGTGGAAACAAAAACAATACCCCCGAGTGCATACCGCACCCCAATCCAATGCTACTTAAAATTCCCAGTGACAGCCACCATGTTATGCATTCTATATAAATTAAAAAGTTGTTCAGGTAATCATATCTATGTCTTATTTTAAACAAAAGCAATACCAGTATGATGCCAAGGAATATTACCTTGTTGTATTTTTTATTTTTCTTGTAGGTATTAGAAATGATATTTCTCAATTCTAAAAAAAAAAGTTTTATCGTCTTGATGGGATGGTAATATAAATTTATATCTTTCCTCTTCAAATACAGCTCCTTCTTTTTAGCTTCGTACGAATCCATCCTTGCTACATAATTTTTATATATACATGTATTATTAGAAAAAAATGGAAAATCAAAAAATGGAATCGTTAAAAATAAGAGGGTCTCTCTTTCACCAAAAAAAAATTAGACATATTATACGTCCGTGTATGTAATATTCTCTTCTGTCACTTTAATTTAAGACGCTTTTCTAACCCTTTTTTTTAAAGTGCGTTGTTAAAAAGAAAAAAAAAATCTCAAACTACATACACCCGTTCGCTTGTTTACATTCTATAAATTATGCATCTCATACAATAATACATGGTGCAATTGCATCATTCGTGGTGCGATCTAATCATCAATTGAAAATTGAATCTGGTGACAAACGGGGCATTTCATGGCTCTGTACTTTTGTTAAGAAAAAAAAAAAAATGTGTTTATAATGGCTCCCTTTAAGTGCTGTGTGGGTACAAATTGATACGTACACAAATTGATATGTGCGCCGGACACACACGCAGATAAGCCCACATGTGTGTACCTATAGAAATGCATACTTGTATAGGTATACACTTGAGTAAACTCGCGGTGTTTTGACTCGTTCCAGAAGTAACAGCCTACAAGTTACTGCAAAGAAGCAGGTGAATGGCGGGTGGCAAAAGCGCCACAAACAGTGGCCAGCACGTTCTGTGCAAAAAGGGGATGCGCGCATGGATAGGCATACGTATTCGCATTTGTATACCCATTTATATGTGTGTATGCATACCCCTATGTATATTACCACATGTATATGGGCACGATCACCACGTTTATATGTACATGCTCATGTGCATATTTTTACCTCTTTACGCGTTCATCAACAAAAAGTAAGAACGATCATGCCCCTCTCCAAAGTACATATGTAATGAGCGTCAGTAACATAAAAATTATTGTAAAAGTCATAAAACGAATGTGTCATATGAAATACTTGTGCAAAATTGGTACTTTCTTCCAGTGGAATGAAAACTTATTTATTTTGCTATGTATTACTTTTTCTCCTTTTTACTAAAATTCGCAAAAAATATGTAATGAATAAAAAGTTGAACAAAAAAGTGCTTTACGAAAGAAAACCATTGCATACGATTGACATTGCTCTGTTCAAACCGGGTATTCATATTTAAGCAAGCATTCGCAATATACCAATGTATATTTTTTTGCGCATAATATGCAATGTATAACTTAAATATATCATATTCTTACGCCAGCCCTGTAACGATATCTTCCTGCTTGAATTTTTTTGTGCTTGACTTTTGCTGATGGAGGTTATAAGTATATACATACGTATTACATACATAACATATGCATATAAACTGTATATAGGCACATATGAACCACAATTTACGGCGAAACCTTTTTTTCTCCTTTTTCCATGCACTTTTTAATACCCAAAAAATTAACCTTTTCCATTTCTTAACTGTTAAATGCATCAAAGTGACATCCTTTTCAAAAATTGGCAATTCATTTTACCCCTTCCATTGACCAATATCTACTTTGCAATTCTGCTTGCATTTTTACGCATTCACATATTTGCCCATTTGCTTATATATTTATGTATACAAAACATTTTTTTTCACGCCTGCGTGATTTTACCGACAATCAAGTTCTACTGCTAATTGTACAAAAATTAAATCGTATGGGTGCTGAAAAACTGCACATAATTAAACACCCTATGAGTTCAAAATTTTCAGGTTTATCCCATTTGCTGCCTTCATTTAATTAATTTTATTTAATTACGAAAAAAGACTTTTCAAAAGTATGCATAGGAACATACATTTGCGATGTATACAAATATTCTATGCGTTGTATGTATTATCTATATATGCCTGCCATTCATGTGTAGTGCTTTTTTAGAGTCAACAGTACAAGGCAATTTTAAAAATATCCACATACGGCAAGGCGAACTTTGGGTGTACACACGAGAGAAAAAAAAAAAAATAGTTGCAATTTAAAAAGAAAAAGCGGCATTATAATACACCACGCCAAATGTAAATTACATTGTGGAACGAAGGGAGGAGTTACGCCACATGAGAAAGCTCGCGCTGCACATAGTTGTTACAAAGTAGGCGAAGCATCCTCATCCGCGTGTAACACCCATTTTAGAGTAAGCGCGAATGAAATAAATATACAGCCATAGGAAAAGGCTAATTAAAAAAACGTACAGAAGAATAATTCTGCACTTTAGAAGCCACACCAAGAAAAAAACAAAACTTCCCATCTATCTGCGCTGCAAAATATTCACACCATTGCGCGAATCCCTGGAAGGGGAAAAAAAAAAAGGCAAACCGACAAACAGACAGGCAGACGGACCGACGGACAGAATAAAATTCTCTAAAAAAACGAGACATCATAAATGACAAATATCTACCATCCAGAGCGAAAAAATACAAACGCACACAGTAGAAACATACATGTGAAAAATGGAGAAGGCCACAGTTAAGGGAAGCTTATTCGATGACGAGGTGGACGTGAAAGATTATGATGTTATGCGGAGAAGACTCGATTTCCTGGAGGGAGAAATGACCATGCCACCAAACAGCATGAAAAGTGTTATTGACAAAACAGCTGCTTTCGTTAAAAAAAATGGAAAAATATTCGAGCAAAAAATATACAAGGAGAAGGAAAAGCAGTTCAGTTTTATAAATCCCTCGCACCCCTACTTTTACTATTATCAGTACAAGCTACATGAGCTATTCATAGGGGCAGAAGAAAAAAGTCTAATCCCCAAAGCCATTTTAGAAATAAAAAAAAGAGAAGATCTAAACAAAGCCAGTAATAATGAACACATATTAAAAATATGCGATTTTATAAAAGAAGACAATAAACAAGAAAAAAATAAAATTATTTATGCCATAAATGATCAGTCGAATCAGGAAATTGCACAAGAGAAAGAAGAGAAAATTGAAGTAAAGGAGGATATATACACAATTACAACTCCATTTATCAGCTCAGTCGACATCGATTTAATCAAAACAACAGCCTTATTTGTTGCAAGGAATGGAAATCAATTTTTAAATGAACTCGTAGACAGAGAAAAAAATAACAATCAGTATGATTTTTTGCGAGCAAATAATCTATACTTTAATTATTTTTCAAAACTTATCGATATATATGTAAAATGCCTACTACCAAATGATGAAATAATAGACAAATTAAAAAAATATTCCACGAATAAAAGCGATATTATAAACTACTCGTACAGTGTTTATAATTTTAATATGAAAAAGAAGGAAGAAGAAGAAAGGAAAATGGAACAAAAAACAAAATGTGATACCTTCTACGATTGGACAAATTTCTCCGTTGTGGAAACAATTAACTTTGACGAAAATGACGATTATCTTCCCCAGTCCATTGACTTTAACAATGTCGAAAATTATGTCCTAAGCCAGCTATTCGATACGGATAAAAAGTACACAAATTTGGAAAAAATTAAAAACATCTCTTATCACGATAGCAATGTAAACAAAACAGTTTACGCAGATGGTGACATGATGGAACGAACAGACAATGAAACAATTGATGCAGATACGGATAAGCAAGCTACCGATCAAGCAGGAGAGGAGGAATATTACGAAAATGGGGTGAGACGAATTAAAATGAGAGACAAACATCATAGTAATGGATACGAAGAGGAATCCTCAGATAGGTCCCTAGAAAAGGAAGACGTTTCGGGTAACAAATACCCTAAACAGGGTCCAAAAGGAAGAAAAATGAACGAAGAAAATAATGGCGCAGAAGGCGATAACACATTAGAGGAAGAGCAAGTTGTGGAGACCAAGGTAGGCCAGGAAGACGATGATAATGAAGAAAGAATCATAGTTGTAAAGAATTACGAAAAATCAAAAAAGCATCGCCTAAACAATCAAAACATGCACCTGTGCCCAATCACAAATCAACCAATTGACATCAACGATATGACGAAACATTTGAAAACGTTATTATTGGATCCGCAGTGGAAGGAACAGAAAGATAAGCTATATGAAAAGGCAAAGAAAGAAGCATCCTTCACTCCACTTGAAGATATTGAAGGAAATTTATCTCTTTTTGTCATTAACAGACCAGATCTTTTTGGCTCCATTGACGAAGAAATTAATGAACACACATTAAATGAAAATAAAAAGAACACGAAGAATATGAAAACCAATAAGAAGGAGGAAGACGTCTACAGTTATATTCATAATATTTACAATAAAATTCTGCCTGGGCCATCCATGGCCCACTACCCGCCAAATGGAGACAGTACCAAAAAGGACTCGACTGATCAAAAAAGTAAAAAACAAAGAAAAGGTTAAGAATTAATTAGGCGAATACGTCGGTAAGCAGTTTGCTCCATCGGCCATCCAAAACGGTTTTGTTTTATCCACCAGTTGGTGGTGACCAATGAAGATTCGTCGCGTCTATAAAACTGTGAACAGGAATGGTTTATCTTTACAATGCCAACAAAAGAAAAAAGAAAATGCTACATTCGCAGCTAAATAGGTCCTTTTTTTTTTTTTATTTGTGTGCAAGGCTTTTTTGAATAATAAAAAAAGCTAGCTATCCCATGGTGGTCATTTTGCCTACTTCACAACATGGCCATTGCCACGTTGCCTTTTCTCCACCTTACCACTTCGCCCCTTCTGATTCCCCCTCCTCTGGTCTTTAATTTAATTTCGTTTAATTTAATTTAGTTTAATTTTTTTGTCCCCTCACAAAATTTTAACTGTTTTTCGTTTGTTCATCATTTTTTGGTATATAAACTCCCTTTAAATAAAAATCTATCTTTTCCCCATCGGCCACGTCAATGCAGTATTTTTTTGTTACGTCGCTCTTGCTGGTTGGCCTGCGTCGATTAGGCGAAAAATGTACACGTAGCATTGTTTACATCCATGCATAATTAAAATGCGAGAAGATAAGAAGTACTAAAAAAAAAAAAGAGACTTACGTGAATGTTACTATAATGTAATCGGGAAACAGAAAAGGGTTATTCCAGTTTTCATCTTTTCCAAGGTTCACTTCATGCATGTCGTACGTTTTTCCAAATAGGATGTCTTTCGTTTTACTGAAGTGGAATACTTTGTTATCGGCGACTTTTAAGGAGTAAGAATTCTGCTTCGTAAAAATAAGAAAAAAGAAAAAAAAAGAGATTTCTATGTGTGAACGTTTTTCAGCGTTATGTTTGCAAGAGAAAACGTTTTCTTTTTCCGTCCTTTCCTTTTTCGTATTTTTTTCTTTTTTTTCTCCAAGTAGTACTCCGCTAGGTGGGTCTTCCTCCTTTACAGCCCACGTGGCGGGAATTCTCGTCGTGTTAAACAAAAACAGACCAAGTTTGTACATTTTTAATTCACTAAAGCTGATGTAAATAAAATACGCGCTGTTCCTCATTTCAATTTCGCTATATATTATTTTCCCCGCCCTTATTTTGTCAGAAAGGTTGCTCTCAATTTCGTTCAACTCTTTGCAATTTTCGATTTCCTGATTTTTCCTTTTCAAGTTGTTAAACTCTCGAAATATGTGCTGGTTCTCTTTGATGATTAAAAAGGGCACGTTATAATGACATTCGACATAAAACCTTTGTTGCCTTTTACTTGTTAAATATTGGAATGTTAAAAAATCCTCTTCTATGTACTTTTTCTCTATTTTATTTTTCAGGGGCAAATTACGACTTGTGTTGTTTTTTAGTTCGTTTTTCAGCTTCAGCTCATCTACTTCTAGCTTTACGCACACCTTACCTTTGCTCTTAATGTGGTACTAAAAAGGGGGCGCGCACGTGAAAGGAAGGTATGTATACTGACATATACATACACACATCCATATAGCTGCACATCCATGTAGTCGCGAGGGCAATCCCTTCGTGGGCTGCCCAACGTGCAACACGGACAAAAATACGAATTCACACAAAACTGACAAAGCAGTAATGCCTCATATGGCGCGCATTTGTTTTACAATTTTCGTGTTGGAATGGTCAAACTCTTCGTGATCTATGTAGACATTTTTTATTTGAAGGAACTTTTTCGTGTACATGTACGAGTAAAAAGGAATTTCCTGCTGATTGCAAAAATACAACTTGAGATTTTTGTTTCTCAAGAAAACCTGATCAAAGTATTCATTTACTTCGTTCACGTCTTCATATAATATGTCATTAATCACTTGGCTTTTGTACATTTTATCAATTCTTTTGTACGCCTTTTTGTTGAAATAATTCAAATCGAGTTTTACCCTTTTGCCGTAAGAGCTACCAGAAAATAGGAAAAAAAGCGAAATGGATGAAGCAAACAGCGGTGTTCATATGTACCGTGTGTTCTTAATAGGTATCCATTTAATTGCTTAAATTGTCACTGTGGGAGATGTCCTGGGGTCTACGCTTGTCTACTCGTATAAGTCTATTCTTATCTACGCACACCCTCATGTGTCTATGTTTATCCTTCCCCTTGGCGTCCTTGTTTCGATATGCGCCCGTATCTACTAAATTTGCCTCTTTTAATTACATTTTACTGTTATGTAGTAGCGTGATTCTCGGCTTCTCCACATTAACCGATAGGTAAAACTGCAGAGAGAGCAACTTCTTTAATTTTTCATTTAAAGCATCGCAAGCAGTTTCACTTTTAACTTGAGAGGTGACATCCATCGGATTGGCATAGCTATAATTGCAGTCAATTTTGTATAAGTGTTTCCCTTCTTTATGTGAGACGTTTTCCAAAAATAGTTTCACCTTTGTTTTCTCGTTTTTGTCCATATAGTTGTTTTCGCACTCAATTCTTATTTCGCTCCCTTCATCAGCCATGTCTGCGATCTCTGCGACGTCGGTCCTGTAGGACGGATTTTCCGTTGTCTCACCATCCGTGCATCGATTTTCATATTCTTCATTTGACTCTTCGTCAATCTCCTCTCTTTTACACTCCCTTTGTGCCGATGCTTCCCTTTCTGCTACACCTTTTTTTCCTTTTCCCCCGTTTTCATTCTTAATGTGATAAATTTTTCTGAAATTGTAATGGACCCTTTTCCTCAAATTGGACGAGTTGAATATGTCGATTTCCCGCGGTTTTAATATTTCTTCAAAACACTTGCATATTTTGTCTATTTGTTCGTTTTTCTTGTTTCTGTTTAGCTCTTCGAATTTTTTAAGAATTTCCTTATTTATAAAAATAGAATTAACAAAAATGCATTTATCGCCATTCTTCGTTTCCCTGTGTGGGCTCAACAAGTGCAGCGATTTAATCTGGGAGGTAATAAATACTTTGAAGACTCTTTCGCTGTTGCTTAAATTCAACGTAATTTCATCCTCATACAAATTGACATTGTCTGCATGTAAGTGGAGTTTTATAAAGGAACATTTCATGGAACGTAATACATTTTCGAATTGGAAAAAGTCCACAAAAAAGTTACTTCTTAAGCCAAAACAGTATTCCCTCTTTTCGCGTAGAACGTTATTCAAGTACTGATAATAGTGGTCTTCCTTTTTTCCGTTTTTTCCTATATATGCAGCGCTTAAGTGTTTTAACTTGCTGTACTTTCCACAATTCACGCTGTTTAAATGGATCGACTTACAACGCGCACTTTCTCTTTTACCCAATTTGTATTCACTTACAAAACGGGAAATCCCTGGCCACTCCTTCCTCATAATTAAATTATCTATGCACAAGTGGAATGCTTCATTTAAGCTGTCATTTATATACGCCGGCGAATGCAACTTCAGGCGAAGGTCGTATTTGTTCCTATTGCTTACTATTACGTATATTGTGCTATTTTCTTTATTCAGTTCGCAGTAGTAGCTTTTGAATAAGTCTGTGGCTTCATCTAAAGTGTGGTATTTCCCCTCTTTGTCCATTTTCGCTGGGTTAATTTTGTCTCGTTTTACACTGTTCAGCTGCTCCCCCTTCAATTTCCCCTCTTCTCGCCCCTTTTCCACATGCGTTTCCCCCGCACCTACGACGTCGTGCGCCCCTGTGATTTCCCCTTGTTCGTACTTAAAGTCCAGTTCGCGCTTATTCCTCCTCACAAAATCGATAAAATTATAATCGACTTTATTGTTCAGTGTGTGTAGGAGTTTATGTACCCACCCAAGTTTCTTCACCTCTTTATTTGCCCTTCTGTTTGTATGTTCACCCTTATCATGGGGGAAATCACCCTTCGCACATAAAGCTCCTTGGTGAATTATTTCATTGGGAGGTTTTTCTCCTTCCCCTTTTCCATCCACATCCTGTGTGTGTTTTTCCTTTGTACTTATTTTCTCGCATGTTATTTCCTTTGTTTCAAATTTTGACTCAATTTGGAGCACAAAATTTTGAAACTCTGCCAGCACATCTTCATCAAAATTGGGGGGAAAAAACTTCTTCATCTGCTTCAAATATTCATTGATTGTTTCCCCCCACATTTGGTCATCCTTTTTTTCTCTTTTTATAAAGTGCAGTTCGTCGATAAGTTTGTTTACAAACGAGTCGGTCGAGTTTGTCCCTGTTCCCTTCTCCTCCTCTGTCTCATTTGTTACACAAGTGGTGGCCCCTTTTTGGCACCATCTCCTCTCACATACGACCATTTTGACATAGCTTAACAAAGATAGCAATAAGTCTTCTTCTCTGATTAGGACAAAATCAAATGTGTGTCGGGAAAAATAACAAGACACTTTTATAACTTCTCGATAATGAAAATAGTTCAATTTTACGGGGAATTTCAATTTTACAAAATTGTTATCTTTCGTTATGACATCATCGTGAAAGAGCAACAATCTAAATTCGTGCGCTTTGCTTTGATTTCCCTTTACTTCGTTTGAGTGACAATCCGCCATGATGACACAGGCGTGTATTGGGCTACCTTCTTCCATGGAATGTTCTCCTTTCAAAAGGGGACCTCCATTCATATATTCTACCCTGTTTTCCTTAGTACAGAAGTGCTTTTCCACTTCTAATTCTTCCGTATTTTGATAAAAAAAACCCTTGTCCTTTTCCCTCTTCACGTTATTAACCTTCGCAAAGGTGTAGAAGTCTTCATAATAGCAATCCAACTTGGGAGTACAATTCCAGACCACCACATACGCCTTTTTCTGATAATTATATTCAAATTGGTTCTTTCCCACTTGGCACATTTCATAAAAAATGTCTAACTCGTTTAAATTTTTTACCTTCACGTGGAATGCGTCACTGCATATTCCTACGTAATTTTTTCCCCTTTTCGTATCAGCAGGGTTAGTACTACCTAACTTTTTGCCATGCTTTATTTTTACGCTTCCATTTTTGCACTCTCCCTCAATTAAGATGTCTCTTCGAAATGCGTTCCAGTTTATCTGCAGGGAAAATTGGAAAGAATGGGCCGTTAGGCGGGGACGCGAAAGAGAAGGGGCAAATGGGTGTCCCCACATATAGGCCCCAATGGACACTACTACAAATGATGACAACGTTTTTGTTTAACCACTTTGGTGTCACTTCTTAGCCCCTCGATGTGCATCAAAAATGCCCCATTGCACACGTCACTGTGCATGCAGCGCTGTCTATCTGGCTTTGTCTCTCCCGCTTTGCATTACCGTGAGGAGGGGACTTATACTTCCCGCATGCGGAAGGAAGACGAAAAAGAGGAAAACCGTCTCTCTTAACGGAAGCAATAACAAATTGGATGGGTAGATCAAAAGGTGCGGCGCAAACTCTGCCTTGCTGTTATGAATATACAAATCTTTATCCGCATGATATTTGTAAATTCCTTGCAGGTTGCCACTAAGGTGATGGCAACGAGAAGGTCCCCCCATCAAACTAGCCATCTTTCCATTTTCCACTATATATTTTTCCTGACCAAACTGGTAAGAATAGCCATGTCCATGGGTACATGCCAAAAAATTACTCTCAAAGAAGTGGATGCAACAATCGTATTTAAACGAACACCTGCACAAGTCGCACTGGTACCCGTCACCCTCCTGCTTAACACAACTCTTGTCTATTTCATTTTCTAAAAATAAAAAAAAGTTTCTCCTGAAATTGTTAAGCAGATCCTCGCGTCCGAGTATGCTCCTTTTCTTCCCCTTATTTTTAAAGGCAGACGAATAAAGCATATACAAGGTGACGAACCCGCACTTCTTCTCCGATGTCTGGCCCAATTTCATCAATTTTAAGTCTTTATCTAAGTTTTCAATTTTTACCATGTTGCAAAAACAGTAATGGGAGTAACTATTGCGGAAGACGAAAGAGTTTCTACTTATTTCGATCCCTTTGCACTTGGTCAATATTCTCCCCTTAACTTTTTTTTCCAGTATATACTTACCCATGTAAAAAATTATGCTCATGTTCATTTCATGGTATCCGTAATGATTCACTAGAAAATACAAAAGGATTTTTTTCTTCTCATGTGGTTTTAGGCAGTATTCACCTTCTTCAACTTTGAGAATGTTTACACTTTTATTCTTTCGCTTTTTTGTCCACTTCTGACCCCCATCGCGTTCTTCTCTTTTCTGCCTTTGCAAAGTTGCCCCATTTTCCCCCCTTTCCTCTATTTCCCTTTTAAACATTTCATTGGGCGCATTTTTAACCAACACGTACATGCTAACCCCATCACTGTTTCCCCTTTCGTAAAAATATTTTACCACCCTTTTGTTCAAATTGAGAAAGTATTCTCTGTCTGGGGGGATACTCGCTTTCCCGCTAGTTTGGCCCCCTTTCATATTTTTCTTACTTAACATTTGATCTGTTCCTTTATCTGTGTTTCGCTTTCGTTGAATCGCCTTGCTGTTCTCCACATCGCTGCCATCCCGTGTATTATCTGCCTCTTCCCTTATTTTTGTTTTTTCCCGATCGGCGCTGCTTCTGCCGCTCCTGCTTCTACTCTCCGTGATGCTTTTTTCGCCCCCCTTTTTAGATGATCGTATGTCACGCAGCACATCTACGTAGTTGTAATAGCATATCTGATGCGCTTCTTTGTTGGCAAAAGGGTCGTCCTCTTTCCGTTTACTGCCTGCGACATCGTCCTGAATTCCATCACGGATGATAGGCGTTTCTTTTTCTTCACTTTTCGACGCGTTGGTGTTCCCCCCGTGGACAACTCCTCTATTCTTCTCAAATGGAATTGCCTTTTCCTCTTTAGACAAATCATCCAAATGAATTAAATTTTCAAAGCGGTAATTAACATAAAAATCGCTTGCATTTTTTATAGTAAAACTGGTTTTATATAAATGCAGCGGATTTAGCAAAAGGCACTTGGTCAATTTTTTCGTCTTCACATGTACATTGGGCTTAACTATATTAGCGTAGACATTCATACAAAACGCGACAAATTTTTTTTTCTTGTTTTTCTTCCCAAAGTAGGTGTTCTTCTTATTCTGTTTTTTTTTTAAACTTTCATCTTGACTTATCTCGGAGTAGCTCGAACATGTGCCACCCTCCGGGGAAGACGAGTCTTCATACTTCGAAATATCATTTTCGAATCGTTGATTCCATTCTTTATTCTTAATTATTTTGTTCTCCCTAACGCACACTAGAGGGAATCCGTCATTTTCCTCGCCCCCATTTTTTTGTATTTCTAACAAATCACCAATGCTTATATCCGATCCCTTGCTCAAATTTTTTATCACCAAAAGGAAGCAATAATTTTTGTAATTTTCGTGTTTTTCTTGAGGCTTGAAAATGATAAATACCTTTTGCCTCTTCTTATACGACAAGGTGAAATTTTTTGGGTATATATACAAAGGGCACATTTTTTTTTTTTTCTTGTTTTTTTCCTTTCGTACTTTTTTCCTGTCTTCCTCCTTCGGTGAGGACTTCCCCTCTGCTACTTCATCGTATAATAAATGTGGACACGTAACATCGAATACCTCATTGTAGTGGTACACCCCTCTGTCTTCTTTGTCAAAAATGGTTTGCATGTCGTCCTTTTCTGAGTTTGCCTTTACGTATACGCTACATGACACTTTTAGGTCAATCAGCCCGTTGTTTAGGACCTCCACTTCGGCAACGTTGTACCCGCTGTTAACCTTAAATCAGGGGGGGGAGTACCCTTCGCGTGAATAATCAGTGCGTGGAAAGGAACCCCCCTTGGGGTTACAGCAGCACGTAGCTGAGCACACACGTGTAGCGAAACATTTCCTGAACTCTGAGTGACTACCTGGATGTCCGGAAACCTAATCGAGTGTAAAGAAGTGCTGTAGAAAAAGTAACTCAAGTTGTCTCTTCTTCCCCCTTGCAGGTATTCTGATATCTTCCGTTCGTAACATTCCCCTGTGTACAATACGACAAAAAAAAAGAAAAAAAAAAACATGTTCTTCTGCTACTTCGTCTTTAGCTTGATCCATATTTTGAGAGAATTATAGCACATAAAGAGGACCAAAGGAAAAGGAGAACCCACCTGGCACATTCCCATTTATATGTACCAAATTTAAGAGCAGCGGCTCCACCAAGGCTTTAACGCAAAACGGAAAAACGTTCATTTGGTTCCAGTTCAAAAAGTCACATCTTCTTTTGTCTTCCAGTTCGCCAAAGTCGCATTCGATGTCCGTTACCATGAGGTAATCCTTCTCGTAAACTCCTATTTTGCCGCTTCTGCGTTGGTGAAGGTTTTGCAGCAGTGAATACATAAGAAAGCACTTGTAAACACCAGTAAAAATATATGTATAGACCAAACGTACGCGAATTCACGCTCTGATAAATCTCTTACAAGTATGACTCCCCTCTCACACAGACTGAACAGCCTCCTCGAAGAGAAAACGGAAAAATCCAAAGTGCCTATTCGACACCCATACCTAAACGCAAAAGTAAGGACCTTCTCCTCTGCCCTTTTCAAGTTCAAATAATAACAATCTTGCAAAATATTTTCAAAATATAGTTCCTCAAAATTATGGGACAAATTTTGATATAAGTAGAGAAAATTGTGAGAATAACTCTTTACATTATTGAATGTGTAGTATGTGTCTTCCTTTTCCTTCACTTGAATAATTTTTCCAGCTCCGTTATTTTCCCCCATTTGGGGAACCTCCCTTGAATCGTCATCCTTTTTTATGAGCAAATTTAATATGTTTTCATCTCTTTCAATTCTCTCCTTTTTTTCGTAAAAGCTAAATAGCTTCCTCGGTAATATCAGTATGTTGGTTTCTTCCCCTTCGTTCTTGATATAAAATCTGTTACAGGGGGGAGGGAATAAAATGCGAAGAAAAACGGTTAATTGGGTGGACATCAAAAATGGTTAGATGTTTATGCGGGTTGTGCAGAACTCTCTTGGGGACCCCACGACACGTTCTTTTATTCATTCCATTTTTTTCTTTTTCCCAAATTGATTACGATTTTTTTTTCTTCTCGTGAGACCGAATGGGCCCAAAATTAAGAATTTTCTGGAACTTCATTTTTGGCATTGAGCGAAACGCTTTTATCTGCAAAGAGGTAATATCGCGATATGCACTTTTTGTGGGACGCTTCCGAAAAGACGCATTTCGCTTGGGGCAAAGAACTGACAGTTCACATAAAAGCGGAAAGTGGCACATATATATATATGCACATTTAGTGTACACTCGCTTGTTCTAATTTCCCCTTTTTTTGTCTATTTTTCTCTTTTTAATTATATGTACGTCTATTGTCTTGTTCCCGGCTTCCGACAGTATTTTTATTTGGTCCCTTTGATGCATCAGGGTGAAAACGTTGTAACCTAATTTTATCTTCCCAATGGGGGAAAAAAAAAGGGGGAAAAATATGCCATATATTTGTCCTTACACAGATTAATTATCACATTTTATGATTCAGACCATATTGATTGCCCCCTCTTTACCTTCAAGGAGTGTCCAGGGGCTATTTGATTGTTCAAATTGTTCTTGGAATTCTCCTCATTCTTGTTGTACACATTAATGATGTCTTTTATGTAAAAGTGGCTTGTGGATGGTGGCACTATGATGACGTGCAGCAGCGTACTGCCTTTGTTCGTGATTAGGAGGTCCCTCGTCTGCGTTTCGTCTTTGATTACGTCTGTAAAGTACTTTGTGGAGGGGCAGCTCTGTGAGCGTGTGTGTCCATCGAGGTATACTTCTAAACGTATTGTCCAACCTGCCTAACATATTTTCCCTTTGTTCTTTCCTGTTCAGAAAAACGCCAGCTGCTCTCATATACAGCGAACTCCAACTTACTACTGTAGTGGGAATAATACACAAGTAGTCATTCAAATCCTCCGTTTTGGATAAATTCAATCTGGGGTTCTTTAAATAATTAACGAACGTGTTTTCCTTTTCTTGATATTTTTTTATTTCCTCCTTCTGCTCTTCTACTTCCTTTTTTAAATCTTCGTCTTTTTTTTTTTTGTACTGCTTTTCCAATTTGAGCATGTACTTTTTCATGTACTTCTCTTTTTCTTCGCCGCTCAGCTTGCTGTTTTTCGGTTCATAATTATCCAAGAATGACAATAAAAAAAAAAAAAGAAGAAAAAAAAGAGTGTGTAAAATTTTCCTCAACAGACATCTACACACTCATGTGATGATGCTTAATTTTTGTTTAAACAATGTTTACTATTTTTCAATTTTTTTCTGCTTCTTCAGCTTGTAGGACAGGGTTTCCTTTTCCTGCGATGGATAAGAAGAAAAAAAAAAAGAGTGCACCATTGCAGAAGCTATGGAATGAAACCTCGCCTGAAGTATTCCGCATGGGCAGAATAAACCCGTTGACATAGCCGCCAAATAAGTTGACGCGAAATTTCAAAGGTGGGTCATTCGGGGCACTTCTAAGGCGTAGACAAACCGTGGAATTACTCATAGACAGAGTGATTTCCATGTACTGGATTTCGCGACCACCAGCACTCGAAAAAAAAAAAAAAACACCCCATCATTTGGAACACTAACAATATTAAGTTTATGAGTGTAAAAATATTTTGTTATTACTTCTACATTGAGAGGGGAGGTCACTTCACCCTTAGTTCCAACCTTTAAATTGCCGCTCCCATTTGGGGTTCCGTTATTATCTTCTTTTTTATTTCCTATGTTCATAACAAGGTCGTCCATTCTCTGTTTTCTCATTTTAAATCCTTTCATATCTTCTAAAAATTGGACACTTTTGTTGAGGCCCTTTCCATAGCAACCATTTCCCTTTTCCGCTGCAAAAAATTCTGTTTTCCTAAGAGGAGATATTTCGCCTATACTCTTTGGGAGATTGCTTTTGAAAATTTCATTATTTTTCAGGTTAGTCAACTTGAATTCATTTGAAAGGGATAACATGCTATCTTTATCCTCTCTGTTGTTAGTTCTGCAATCCTCTGTGTCTCGTCCCATCATTTCCCTTCTTCCCTTGTCTGCAATGTGTAACATTCAGACGAAAGGATATGCACGAAGTGACACGTATACACGTTATGTGCGTTCGTGTGAACGTGCATATGTGTGTGTATTATCCCCTTCACAAGACTGTCAAACTATTCATATTACTTCTTTTCTTTCCATTATGAGGGAGCTTATCAACCCCCTTTTTCATTTTCGTCTCATTTATTTCTTCACACCCCACCTCCTTCTGAGTGAAGGACATTTCGTTAGGAAGCACGTCATCTTCTTCGTCGTTTTCAATATATCTAGTTTCCCCATTTACATCCCATTCGGATGTGTTTATCAATTTCGCACCCGCCGCTTGGTGTTCTTTCTTCTCCTTTCCCAAACCCTTTTTAGAAGCTTTATCCTTCTTTCCCTTATTTTTTTCTTCCATATTTTACATTTCCATGTTTTACATTTCTATGTCTCTTAACCACATCGAGGGGGGCAACATGAAATTTCCCTCTCCAAACTAGGCAAAAAGATTACTCATACATAAACGCCTATATTAATAACTACACATTGACATTTCTGTTCCTATTAAAATGCGC